CCGATAACTAGGTACATAAGGGAGAAGTCATGTAAATAAATACTTCATTTGTATCTTACTATTCCTCCAAATGACTCACAGTGATATATATATTTCTTTCATATTGGTCGCTTTATCCTGCAAGATTCAGGCTGAGAGATAGCGAAGAGTTCACCTATTGAACTTCATGGCTGAATGAGAATTTGTAACAGGGTTTTTTGGCTTTCAGATAGTACAACTGTCTGTTACCAATGGGCAGGAATGACTGAAAAATGCATTCAGCACATATTATTTCTGTATAATTACACATCTAATAATATATTTACATTTCATTTACTAGGAACTGTATGCTGGCTGTTTGCTTCCCATTAATTTGCAAATGTGCATGGGTGTGCACTATTTTCTTAAAGGTGAGTTTCTAGTTTCTTGGGCTAAACTTTATGTTTTATTATGAGACAAGTGTAATATGTTGCAACAACCACTTCTCAGAAAGAAAAAACACAAATGTTAAAGAATCCTTGGCACAGGAGCATTTAAGCCTATAGAACTGCATAGCTAAATGGCTTGAAATGATGATTAAGAGTCTTCAACTTGGATTGCTTGTGCTGGATACTACCTGTTCTGATGAGGCTCTGGTTTAAAGTAGTAATTAAAGTAATTCAGCTAAAAATACTTTGGGCTTGGCCCTCCTAAAAAACTTTCCTTTCATTTTCAATTACTTTTGACTTTTTCCCACCAATGACCTTCAGTGAAATGAAAGACAACAAGCAACAATGTTGATTTATGAAGTGCTAAACTTCAAACATTAAGTCTCCTTCTTTAAACACAGCAAAAGTGGTGGGTGGTAATGGGGAGAATATATCTCTTACCTTAGGATATGTTTTGCATTACCCAAATGCTTTTTTGTGTGTGGTGGGCATTTTAGAAATATTCTAAATAAATAGTTAGCAAACCTGGAGAAGACATTAGAGATCACTGAATTTCTACTTTTCAGAGCAAGCTATCTAAGGTTTATTTACTCCAATTTGAAACTTAATACTTCCTGATCTTTAAATGAAATGTGGAATCTCTTCTTAGTTCACTAAATCCATTTCGATCAAGCAATAAAATGAGATTATTTTAGCTGGATTGTAGCACTCATTGTATATAGTTTTTAGCCTGTGAATAAACGTATCTTGAATAATTATAAAATTTGCAAGTAATACAATGTATTAGCCATCAGCACCATCATCTTTTTTCCCTGTGCTATTCTGCAATTTTTCTTTTATTCATGCATTTTTTAAAGAAGATGAATTAAAACTAATGGGAGGAAATCTCCATGATTTGTAACAGCCCAGTGGGAATACAATCTGTACTCCCTGAATGGCTTTAATCCAATTGAATTCATATGTCAAAGAGCATGATGGATTTGTCTGTAAAGTGGAGGATAGAGAGCACTTTAGTTTTTAATAAGTAGGCACCACCTGCTTAGATACATTCAGCAAATCAAGGCAACTTTGAGAGGCCTGTGGTGAAATTTGAATGTCTTGCTACAAAGTTACTTGTATGAAAACTAATACCCTTTTCTCTGTGAGAGAAATGTACTAATCAAGAAATATGCCTGCGGCAGCCTTAATTAATCTCTTAACATTTGAATGGTGGCTTCCAGAAAATTACAAAATAGAAATAATATTTCCCATTGCCTAAACTACGGTTTGAAAACTCAGGAAGCTCTGCCTTTGTAGTTTCCTTCTTTCTTGGCCTCAATAGTAACTATCTCTTTGATCAAATTAGATTATATCTGAATCAGTAGACTATGATATGCAGAAGTTCTCAAAACCAAAATTGTACACTAATGGACTCCACTCCACCCTAATCAGGGATCACACACATCCACTGTACATCTATATCTATTTCTTAGGGCTACAGGAAACATAGCTGATAAAATGATGACTTTGAGATGCATACCTGATATTTACATCTGGGTTTCTTATATGTTCTTCTGTTCCTTCTTTTCTGGTCTTACAGGGAACAGCTGACTTCAAGATGTAAGGTAAGTTCACTTTTCAGTGCTCCTAAAAAGCAAAACAAAAACAACCCTCCACACACACACATAGTTGAGTATGGGTGATTAGCCAACTTTAGTTGCTCAGTGTGGATACTAAGCAAACTGCAAAATGTGGGGTTTGGGAAGGTGTCTGTCATAGGATTTGAAAGGTTTTGTAGATTAAAATCCTTGAAACATGGTAAACTTTATTTTGACATTTTTAAAGGAATATATTAACTGAAGGTTTTAGTGTACAAGTAAACATGAACAGATACTTTATTAAACCAAGGTTCATCTGATAAGAAACAGTGTCTCTTGGTATATGAAGGAAAACCATGATTGCTACAAAAAAGATTTCATAATGTAAAGGAAGTTATATAATTTCTCACTTTACAATTAGAATGAAAGCATTTTAAGCTAAATTGATCTTTGGGCTTTAACACAGAGAGCCTGAGTACTTCCACTGCTTTCAGATTTTCTAACTATTGTTGGAAGATACAAAGGGAACAGTTTCTTTTCCTGTGAAGAGAGACAACTCAAATTCACACTTCAACATTTCAGTTGAATCTGTGTTATAGTAATGCGCTGTCATATTGTGCTTGGCAGAAAAGAAACGTGGACTTGAGTAAGTGACAAAAAAGATAGAGAGCTAAATGTAGGTGTGATCCTTTATTGATATTGAAGGAAATTGTTGAAAGTAAAAGGAACATTTATCTTTTAACAGTCCATTCAGAAATTACATAGCACTGGAAATTCCCTGACCAATTTTTGTCAACATATGACTTTAAAAATGTTTGGTGGTCAATGATTAAGGAAATCCAGTAACTTCATTTGTCAAAACAAGAACCTCAGCTAGAATCTTTTTTTTTTTTTTCATTTGTATTCCCAATGTACTTATGACCACCATGCATTAATGGATCTGCCTTTGGATTCTAGGTTTCTTGGCCAATATTTTAAAAAAAAAATTAAATTGGGGGCTAACATTTTGCAGAACAAACCTTGAGTGCCCACATGCATTTTATTTAAATGAAGTTCTCCAGCATTTATAGGCATTCTAGAAAATAATTAGACCAGATTTGCAGCCTAATGTTATATTAGGGAATGCCCAGGAAAAACAAAAATAAATATAAACTGAAGAGTAATAAGAAACTTTCCTCCTTTGGTGAGGAGCCCCTTTTCCAATTAGCCTTCAGTTAATCTTAGTAACCAACAATGCCCCAAATGACAACCATCTTATTAGTTAATGACAATATGCTCTTGAAATTGCAAAATTGCCTTTGAGTCCCAAACAGCTATGAACTCTACTGTATGGATAGATTTCTTATATATAATAAACAGAAAAACCTGTATTAATTCTATAAAATTCTAAAAGATTTGGTTTTCTGTATTTCTTCTATAATTTCTGTTATTCTGCATTGAATTCTGTAAAAGAAAGAAGTCTTTAAAATAAGAATTGACCAATGTAACCATTCTTTATTATTTTATAAATACAACATTTAAAATAAGATAATGAGTTATTCATATATAATTATTCACCAACAACTATTTATCATGTTGAAAAAATTCTGCTGCAATTTTCCAATGGATATTAGCAAAAGATAGAATCACTAATGAATTGTACATCTCCTTATAAAATTTAGATACGTGGCTTGAACTGGTAAACATTATGTTGATTTTTCAATATTAAAGTGGAATTAGTATAAACAGCATAAGAAAATGTGAGCATAATAGCTTTAATGTTTAGTACCAAGTTAAAAAAATATTCAGTTTTGCTATTATATGCTAAATTATTTTGTAATGTGAAAAGACTGTGGCCTTTTTCCTTGGGTAGATTCTGAGGGGGTAAGATGCGGGGCTGGCAAATATCCGTATTATGTGCATCAGGGACTGGCAAACCATGAGTGCAGTTTGGACTGGCAGCTCCATCATTAAGTGGCATAGACATAAGGTGAAATGTCACATAACCATGCTTTACTTATGACAGTTTGTCAGTTCTGCCTGTGTATTAAGTCAACCATCTGTGATCATTAAGCACAATGTCACATGATTGTAATTTGTGACTTCTTGTCAGCTTCCCCATTTACATCGCTTGTTGGAAGTTAGCTGTGCAGGTCACCAATGGTGATCAGGGATATTGCAATGGCCACAATTTCAAGAACTGATGATAAATTTCCTTTTTCAGCATTTGGATTTTAACAAAGTAAGGACAAGGTATGGAAAATATCTCGATGAGAAGAGGCAATTAATATTAAACAGCAAGCCATGAAAATTCATTTCATCAAAAACATTCCTGAGTCAACATATTTGAATAAGCCAGCACATGTAGGTAAAACAATAGGCAAGAAAACTCCTTGTCACATTAGCTTTAAATGTCAGGAATGACGCTTATAAAGACAAAGATTCCCTTTTACAGCACAGCAGACTGTAATTTTGAAATCTATAATCCCCTTTGAAATCCTTCAGAAATAATCATATATTTTTAATAAATGAACACTCTTTTCTGAAACAATATATACACCTTCATTGCCTAATTCCATATATTCATAGATTAATGTTCTATACACCAAGTCCTAAAGATATTAATATATTTAATCTTTTCATGTTATTCAGGGAGGATATAAAACATATAACTGCTAACTTTCCTCTTTTGAACATCCAATCAGACTATTGTAATGTAAGCAGGCAACACATGTTTTAAATTTCTGGAAATGAGCACATTTTGAACCTTCTCAAGTACAATAATCAGTTCAAATTTATGCATTGGTTGTGATGTATGTTAATTCCAGTCCTGAGCATGTGTAGGTCTAATTAATTTTTTGCACATGTTACCTTTCTTTACAACTGTTCAGTTAGAGCATGCCAGCAAAATTATTTTTTTCCATAAGCAACAGAAGATGGCAATACATAAAGAAAGACTTTTGGGTTCATGTGGAAGCCTGAAAAAAAAAGACAAACTGATTTAATTCCACCTATGTGAAGTTCAAAGCTTGTGTTTCCAATCATTTTCAAAATGCATACTTCAATGAAGAACAGAGTGGAAGGATTACTCTACTCATGTGACTTGGTTTGCAGACCAAAAGTTTTCAATGGACATTAAGGATATCTACAGGACAAAATGTTGATCACCAAAATGTAGCAATGTAAACCAGGTATACACAAACATACTTCATGTTTTCTATAGTGTCTTTTGGGCATAATTGCAATCCTGGATATTGCAAAAAAACTCCTATTGTCTTTGGTATCCTTTCTAAGCTGTCATATTCAACACAATACCATATAAACCAACAAATGGAACACCAATACACAATGATTATGACTTTCTTCAGAAGCATTACCCTGCCATTATTCATCAATTTTCCAATTTGTCCTTTTACCAGAGTTAGTAATGTACTCAAAAGGAAGTCCTGTTGAATTCAGGATTATAATGAATATAGATTTGGGTTGATTTCAGGTCAGCATGAGTTTAACTAAAACTCTTGTGATTTGTAAATCATGATTCCAGACTTGAATGAATGAGCCAGATTTGTTCAGCTAATAATGGTTAGACAAGTTCAGCTAATTTGTAGAATAGTTTGTGTTTGTGATATGTTATGGCCATAGGTTCATGTGACCTGCTGATTATTGTCTCATATACAGTTTAGCAATTTCCAGAAAGAAGAATGGAATTCTGAAAATCCATTTATTGCTACGTAGTAGGATAATGTAAATCTCTTTTTAATGCCCTGTTTCCTCCCTTTTTTGCTGCTCCTTCTGTGTTCTAAGATCTATTAGTCATTCCATTATATATGGAGAGAGTGACTTCAGGGTTCAGAAAGAGTCCATTACTCCCTTTTTTTCTCTTATGATGACTTCCCAATTCAAGTCTTAATGTCCATGAATTGCAATCAAATGACAAGGGAGACCATGCCTATGTGCCTTTTGTTTCCCTTTGCATAAAGGAGGTTTGGAGATATCACTGATATCACAGAAACACTGAGCATTTTTTTATTATTTAATTTTCACATAGATGTATATGTATTTAATCCCTTGCAATGTTTGAAAAACACATTTACTAAAAGCTAATGGGTTTAAAACATATTAAACATATTAAACATATTAGCATTAAAATATCTGAGAAAATAATCTTTGCTTTGAGCCATCATCTAACTAATAATGCTTCCTTAAATTCCAGTATCAGATTGATCCAGCACACGAGCTTCATTATATTAAGAAACAAAGAAAGCAGAATGGATAATTAATTAAAATGTGTCCATGCAGAGATTTGGAAAAGACATCCCATTGATTCAACTGTGCAGGGCACATTCTATGGGAATTGGTGGTCTTGTAAGTAGCTTGGTTTGAAGCCATGTAATGCTTTGTACACCTTTGTGGGCACTTGAAATCAGGCTGAGAAAAAAGTTGGCATCCAGTTTCAACACAGGGACAATAATGAACAGAAAAAAAACCACTGATCATCATCCAAACCTGATCTGTTCCAAAAGCAATCACTATCAGTATTGTTTTCCAGTGCTGAATTTTAAAAATATACATTATTAGGTAAATAAACATACATTTCATACATTGAACAGCAAATTATAGCTAAAAGGCTTAACTTGGATCAGGAAGTCACAAAAGCTGACCATAAATACTTGACATTTGAAAAAAAAAAAAAACTGAAAGCAGAAAGCTTCCAAAGACTTCTTGTCACTATCAAATGTCATTATCTGAAGCATAAAGCAGCACAGAATTCAGTGCTTCTGAGCATGCGCTGACTGGTCCAAACCCTGACCAGTTCCAGATCCCACCAATTCCAGAGCCCACTGATCCAGAATTAACTAGAAAGGCCTTCCCAGGTCAATGCAAATAAATAACAAGCATATTTCAGAAAGTGTGCAGGGGAAGGGAAATAATATATCAGTGAGCTTTGGAAGATTTCTTTTTCGTCTCATTCTCCTTTCACTGACCACAAGGCAATACACAGCCAGCTCTCACTGGCATTCTTACCTCTTACAGCTCTCATGTTGCAGATCTGGATATATTGAGAACAACAGGTGTCAGTTCCAGCACTGAATTAAATCAAGTTAACACTTCACATTGCCTCCTAGTTTTCATGTTTCTTAACTTAGCTGAACTTTGCAAATTAAGATTTTAATAGTTGACACTATTTCTTCATGTGGACTGGATTTCTGTGTCTCCTTAAGCCATGGATTTAATGAAATTGATAACTTTTGTCCATTAGGGTTTTTTTTTCCTTCTCCTCCTTGGTATCCTTCCACTTAGTGTATGCATTTGTTTTTCTTTACAGAAAATTGTATAATACTTGTTTATTCTTTAGGCTTTCATCCTGCTTTTTATCCATGAACTTAAAGCAATGTACATCGAAATTTTTCTTCTAGTTCTTCCCTCCAATAGCAATCATGTGAAATAAATTGGAGTAAGAGATGAAGCTTCTGGTTACTTCTCTGTCACTTCATGAGCTTTCATAGCTGAGGCTGAATTCAAACATGGGTCTCTTTGATCCTAAGAAAATGCCTTAACCACAATATTGGAATAATTGTAGAAATTACAGCAATTGTAGAAACTATCCAGAACTTATCAGTCTTATAAATTTGTTGAAACAAAATTTGCAAGAGAAAGAGAAGCAAAGCAGACAGGCTGGCTAAAGCAGACTTTTTGTTTGCTTGTTTCCTGTCAAATGGACATGCTTTTTATTAATTACTTTTATGATAGTTAGAATTTTCCAGAATAAAAAGTGCTTTCACAGCACCTGTTTTCAAAGCAGAACACTTTAGAATCTTCCTATATTTTTAAAGTTGTTTTCAATGTTTTCAAAGTGAGAACAATTAATCAGTGGAACAGCCTGCCTCCAGAAGCAGTAAATGCTCCAACACTGGAAGTTTTTAAGAAGAGACTGGACAGCCATTTGTCCGAAATGGTGTAGGGTTTCCTGCCTGAGCAGGGGGTTGGACTAGATGACCTCCAAGGTCCCTTCCAACTTTATTACTATTACTATTACTATCCTTAAACATATTTTTATGGTTTACAACTCCCTGACATAAAAACTTTGCAAAATTATCTTCTTATTTTGATTTCTAAGTACACACATATACTGTATATGCCGGTGTATTAGGCGACCCAGCGTATAAGACGACCCCCATCTTTGTCGCTGAGCTGCATTCCTAGAACATCATCTTATACACCGGAAACTACCAGTATTTCCAGAGTATAAGATGACTCGGTGTATAAGACGACCCCCGTCTTTGGCGCCGAGTTTAGCACTTCCAGAAGTCATCTTATACGCCGGCATATACGGTACTAGTGCATGAGTACTTTGCAAGTCTGAAGTTAAAAGAGAATAGAAACGTGTTTTTGCACACGTTTGATATAAGAGCATTCAGTAATTTATATACAGTTATGGTCTGGCATTGATATTGCTGTGTAAGTGAAAGCAAAACCCTGTAACTGGAACACAACATGTCTTAAATATTTTACTCGTTGGAATCTTCAAAATGGGTATATTATATGATTAAACTCTTGATAATCTGCTATCCATATATATAGATTACAATTCAGCACCATACCTGTAACCCTCACTGCTCCATCATGTCTGTGATCTAAGTATGACTGGAACTTATAAACTAGTTCTATGTATGAGTAGTTGAATAAGAACAGCAGTTTCCATAAATACATGATATATTCCACCTGCATTCATAATTGTTCTTTGAAGATATTATACTTTCAATAAACAATAAGTACACAGCCTTTAAGGGGCTAAAAATATACAATTTGCAAGATTAAGTTGAGGACTGCAATGGAGAAACAAGCAGAAATTGGCTATGTCCAAGAAAGTAAATGGGGGGGGCACATTTTCTTAAATCCCATCTGTTTTAAGTGCTCTCTTTTCCTCTTTATCTACTTCTACCTTCTCCAGTTTGAAGACTGCTAAGTTCAATTTTAATTTTACCTACTAAATTACTAAGCAGGATACTGGGTATACTGTTTGCAGTACATGGTCCAGACAATGTCAGGAATGAGGCAAGGACTACAGTTTCCCCTGTGTTTTAACCATATACATCCATATGCCTAAGAGAAGATAGAATAATGATGGCTTCTTCACAGATTCATTTTTGCAACTCCTCATGCCCAGCATATGGGAAAAAAATTCTTTGGCAAAAAAAACCTTTTTTTTATATCATTCTGTAACCCCTGCCATTTTAGTTTTGTGGAACACACTGGAGCACAATCAACCCAATACTTGTATGGTTGTTCAAAACTGTGCATCTATATTCAAAAGAGAGAGCCAGTTTTGAGTAGTCTTAAGGCATCACACTAGAAACTGGGAGATCGTGAGTTCTAGTCCCTTCTTAAGCACAAAACTAGCTGGGTGACTTTAAGCTAGTCACATTCTCTAAGCCAGACATGTCAAACTCATGACGTCATGTGACATTGCACAACGTATCAGGACTGTTTTGCCATTGCCAGTAATGGGGTGGGTGCAGCTTCGGCGTGACGCATCTTGCCTGCAGGCCGGCAATTTGAAACCCCTGCTCTAAGCCTTTTCAAGGAGGAAATGGCAAAGCACTTCAGAAAAACCTTATCAACAAACCTTCCAGTTTCCAAGAATCAGACATGATTGAATGAAAGACAAAAAAAATCAAAATAGCAATGCTAAGACATTTCTCAGAATCTCCTTTCTCCCTATTTTTGGAGAGTTTCATGTATCTTAAGGGCTCATCTTGTTTTTCTCATTAATTCTGTACTGCATCTTCTGGGTTGGCAAGGGACACCAGGTTTATTGTCCAAATAGAACTGCTGTAGGTCACACCTGCCCAAAAGTTATACTGGATTTTTTGTGGATTTATTTAAGTTTCATAAATTTAATATACTTAATTTTAATAAAAAAATAAATATTGTCAATAAGATTACTCTCTAGTCAGACATTCAATAATTTCCTTACTCTTTAATAAAAACTGCAATGTGACAACATTTTGGGAGCTCAGTGACCAAGGTTTGGGAAGCACATATGTACAGGTTGAAGTTTTCACCTCTACCTCAGAAGAAGATACTGCAGAGATAGAGCACTGAAGCATCTGCTCAACCTTTCTGCTGAAAAAGCCTACTCAGGCAGCCAAGCTGCATAAAGGGTTAAATGTCACCAATGCAAAAGATAATTAATCTTATCTGTCACTGCAGCTGTTTCACATAATTTTCACTTAATAGCAGCAAATATCATGTATCATGGTAGGTTGAAAGAACAGTAAAGCAAAGCAAAGTTTTGAATGTATTCTTGAAAAGACAAGTTTAGCTTTCATAGGCATGACTGAAATCAATTCATCCTTAAAAGAAAGCCATGACTTTGAAGCCTATGTTTCCTCCATTAACAGTCATTTCTTGAAGTGTATTTCAAGGGCAGGAAATATATGGTGAGAGCCACAGAACTTTGCTTAAACTTTCCTGCAATCATGGAGAAAGGGGGAAAGATCCAAAGGAGAACCATTTTATCTATTTTCTCACATACATTTTTTAATGTAAATAGCCTTCTCAGTTGTGAAAAATTCTAAGCCTTTAAATTCCAATTGTAAACTAATTAAACTGCATCCTCATCTTTCTCCACTGGTCAAACTGGATTAGCATGGCTATTTCCAGGATAAATAAGAGCACAACTAAGTTCATTCATTTAGCTAAACTGTAATGTTTAACCATTTGAACTATTTAATAAACTAAACTGATTTGATTTGTTTTGGCTTAGCATGCCATGTGAATCCAGCTAATTGTGGAAACCTTTATTATACAATACATAATTGAATGCATTTTGTAGTTTTTATTCATGCCATATCCAGCATTAGTTGTAAAATTTAAACAATCTTATACTTATCAACATTAACATTTTAGAAATATTAATATTTCTTTGTCTTTAAAGATTTAAGTTATTTATTAATAATAATAATAAATTAATAATCTTCACTCAACACTGTATAAATATTACTGCTTCCAAATAGTATAATGTAATGTTTATGCTTTATAATAATACAATAAAACAATATGAAAAGAGAAAATAAAATTAGTTAACTTTAAAAGACAAGAGTTATTTTACTATGATTGTTATATAAGGTGTATAAGTTTGGTGGTGGAGGTGCAAATCTAAAAAGTAAGAGATTTTCAGGAAAATAAGCAGGAACACCTTGAGTTGTATTAAATAAAGGTAGAAGATTATTTTTCTCCAGTCACATATTTAAAAACTATTATTTCTCTTTAGGGCATCTTTCAGGGTTCTTTGGGGTGCAACATGGAGCCCAGTAATCTTAGTTTAGGTACTACTGCAACATATAATAGAGTTGTGCAGAGTCATAGTTTTGATCAGCCAACCATGACTGTAGCAACTGTATGCAACAATGTAAAGCAGCTGCATTTTCTGCCAGGATTACACACTTCTGCACATTCTGACTCACTTTTTAAGACTGAATTGAAGCGTTCCACAGTCTTGATAAGTAACCACTATAGCCCGCATTATTGTAGTTGTTATTTTATTTGATTAAATATCCAACCTAAAAAAGGCACTGAATAACAAGATGAACTATAGAACCAATTAAAAACCATGTTAAATTTCTTCAACAATAATATAAGCCTTTGAGGCTGCTATGTGAGTAAAGAACTCATTGGAAAGACTGCATTTTTTGGCAGACTAACCTTTTAGGTAAGATAAGATAAGATAAGATAAGATGAGATGAGATGAGATGAGATGACCTTTATTGTCATTTTTTTACTGTGGGCACAACGGTACACATCAAAAATGAAATTTAGTTCCCATACTCTCTTTTGTCTCTTAAGTGCCTCTTGGTCAGTATCATTTTTTGATCAATCTGTGTTGAAATGACTTGTTTTAAATGTATCCTTTTTTAACTTGTTTTTATTGCAGTATCTCGTTTTATGGTTTCTAACTAACATGAGATCCTCTGGATAGTTTTTGGTGCACTAAATATTTTAAAAATAAATTCAGAATGTCTAAAAATTTGCTTGTTGCGTAACAAATTCTTGCATTAAAAACTATTAAGAAATTGCTCCTTAATTACTAAGATATTATTATAATAGTATCAAGCAGAGATGCCTGCCCAGAAGTATGCCACACTTCTGGGCAGCTGCTCAGACTACAGAGGAATCAGCAATCATTTTGTAACTATAGATGAGGTGCGCCAAAGCCACCCACCAGTTTAGCCTGCAACTGAGGCTTTGTGATATGATAGCCATGTCCAGACAAATCTGCCTCTTTTCTTTAGGCAAAGAAAATGCTTTGTCAATTCTAACTATAGAACTGACATCTAAAAAGTTCAAAGAAACCATGACTTCTTTCAGTTTTTTCCTATAAACATTTTTAGTACCGTAAGCATTACTGGCATACTTCTGATATGTGCTCTCAAATTGGAATGTTAATTCTGCTCAACATGAAATGTTTACTAATCCCCTGTAAGGCCCCTCTCTGCTTCTCTTTAAGCCATAATAATGCCATTGTTTTATAAACCCAATTGTGGATTATG